AACATTTTGTCGAGAAAAATATATAATATGTAATGGTCATTTTTTAATATTTATAACTTTTTTATGCGATATTTTGTTTTCAAAGGTAAAATATAAAATCCAATAGACTGTAAAACGGTGTTTTGGCTAATCATAAATTGTTTTTCTCACTGAGCACCAAAATGTCATTGCAAAGAAGAACATGCGCTTCTCAAGATGTACATTAGTATTTACAACTTTATTCTGAAATACAATTGCATGTGACATGAGAGTGTGAAATCATAGCGAAACATCAGTTTATTAAATATTTTTCTTATAGGTTAAAAAACTCGGAACTTTTATTTTGATGAAACTTCTTCTTCAAAAGCAAAGAAATTTCGTTATTGCTTGAAAAAACTCTAAGCTCCTAATCATGAAATATGAGTTCAATTAATTAGAAGTTTCTCGACTTAGCCTAGAAAATAAAGACACAATATGTAGTGTAAAATACTTGGAATATTTTCATTGTGGATTCTAAATTAGTTTTATAATAAGCATAACTTGGTATTCATATTATCAGTAGTTACACTGTCAATCTTAACAAAATACTTGAGTAATGAAACTAATGATATTGGAAAAACTATTACCTGTTAACAAGTATTCCATTGACAACTCTCTCAAAACGTTAATTACAGTAGTAATTAGGAAATTTTATTTATAAACGTAAGAAATATCACTATCTGATAACAGATTCTTTTACTGTTAATTATAACGGTTTCAAATGTGATATTCATTACTTACGAGTAGAGCAGCTGATAACGTACTATGATTGTAAGGTGACTGTTTTATTATTGGTTGCCATTTCAATGAATCCTTGGATTTTTTTCCTTCGCTTGTAGTCTAGGAATGCTGGTTGCGTACGTGTTGTTTCAGATCGCTATTCTTGACGAAGATAAGCAAACACATGGTGCAGTGGTGGGCGTGCACGGAGCCCATGTGCCTCGTAAGATGGGGTTTCAGGGTGAACGTTTGCAAGCATTCGACGCAACTGTATGGCTTTATACCTGTGTGAATCCGTTCATGCAAAGTCAGGCAGTCCTTCCGAGCAAAGTTTTTCGGACACGATCTACATTGGTACGATTTTTTCTCCGTATGAGCCCGTACGTGTCTCGTGTAACTGTCCTTGTGGCGGAAAGTTCGAGGACACATGCTGCAGCTGAAAGGAGTTTCATCCACGTGTGTCCACTCGTGACAAATAAGACGGTCCTTTCGAGAGAACGTCTTCGAACAGGACTGACATTTGTAACGCTTCTCGACAGAATGGATCCACTCGTGGGTGACAAGATGACTCTTTTGGAAAAAAGTCTTGGAACAAAATTTGCATCCGTAGGGCTTCTCGCCCGTATGAACCTGCTCGTGCTTCGTGAGGCCGCGTTTGTCGTTGTAAGATTTTAAACAAACCTTGCAAACGTACGGCTTTTCTCCCGTATGGACGCGCGTGTGAGTCTGCAGACGGTAATTACTTTTTAAATTTTTCCCGCATATTCCGCAATCATAGGTTCTGCCACCTTCAGCCATATTCCTATATGAATACAATGTTAGCTTTCATCCACCGCAATTCAATTAGCCAAGGAAGGAGCTTCGCTGACGTTATCTTCAATGATTTCCAATGTAAAAATGTTCCTTATGAGGGTTGATGACGAGGTTTTCAGGAAGTTATCTGTTGAACATACACAACATACGCATTATAAGTCTCGAAACACCATTATTATCATCATTGGTAATAATGTTAGTGATATTGGTAGAGTTTGAAGTATTTATGAACATGTATAGTCCATCATGCATCATGGAAAGTGATTAAGTTGTTCTTTCCTAGTGTATATTTCATGCTGGTCCCGAAAATTATTTGATGCATCTAATTAAACTACTCAGTCAATTAAAACACGAAGGATCGATTATTGCAAAAATTTTTAAATTCTGAAGACTAAGGCTATAGATGAGTCATTATGTAAATGTAGGGGCACCTTAAGGTAGTTCATGAAATAACGATTCTCTTACAAATAAATAGTTGTTAAAACTTTAACCGTGAACCTTATCTTACTTAAAAAAAAAAAAATTATTATTTCTTTATTATATCTAAAGCGTGATCGAATTGTTATCAACTTTTGGAACTTTGTTAAACTTATCTTCCCTGTTTATGTACTTCTGCGATCTTCAGTTTATTAAGGTTATTTATTATACGTTAATCGACAATAGTTACAAGTAAATGCTTTAATAAATTCAATTGGACCATTATTTAAATCCAAAATACATTTGATAAATTTTTTTTATCATATTTTTGTTGCAACTTCAGCAGAAAAATACTTGTAATTTAAAAAAAAAATTGTAAGAATAAAAGTTATACAATGACGTTTTAATCGATTGCGACATGAAATAGTACTTTTTCTGTATGGTCGTGCATTTACACAAATAGTATTGAATTGTAAAAAAACCAGCTGTAGAACAATAGAAGAACATGTTGTAGTAACATGGCATCATAGTTTGACGACGTAAAGACAGAAAAATAGATGCATTACAATTCCATACTAATTATATATTATAAACATGTTCAACAACAGCCAAACCTTAATGATCACGAAAAAGTAAATTGCAATACATTACTTCTTGCCTATATCGCACGACCAATCTTTACAGTGCCAAATTAAAAAAAACTCAACATTAACTATACGATTCTATTTCTGAGATCACTAACAGCAAGCCTCAGAACACAATGACTATCGCCTTTGGTTTTGCCTCGAGTGTCAATCGTATATTATTTTCTCAACAAGCTATTATCTTATCATTTTTTAAAGTTAATAGCGTTGATTTTATCTTATCGGACACAAATGTTGCATACAAAAAACTTGTATTTTTTTACGGTTCTATGAATTTTACATTAACTTTGTATTCTCAAATGTAAAACGAGTTAGTTAGATAGGGTAAAACATAAATTTAGTGATTTTTCGGCATTTTTTGCGATTTGGAGCGCCAATTTGATATCATAACTTAATACTTTACATACACTTAACAAAAAGTTAGATAGGAGATTTGTTTTAAACAAAAGAGTTGTATTTTAATGAGATCTACAACTTTTACATTGAACTTTTTAATCCTACATGTAAAACAAATAAGTTGGACAGAGAAAAAATGTATTCTAACGATTTTTAAGCATTTTTTTGCTAACAGAACGTTTGGGTTACACCCTGGACGGAAATCTTACATACTTTGTCTTTCACAGCAAAGCTCGATAATATCACGTAACAAACTTACAGCTGAAAAACAGTTTTTTTCTTCACTGAAAGTACCATATTAAAACGGATGCCATTTTTTTTCTAAAAAAGGAAACCTTACAGATTTTGAACTATCACGTAAGTCATAAAAGACGAAGCTATTTGTCAAATTTCAGCCCAATCCAACAAAAACTGCATGAGTTAGTCGAAAAACTTTATTACGCCCATGCATACGTACGCCGAGGCCCGTAATCGCAATTTTTTATTTTACAAAAATGTTTTTTACACAAAAAAAAAAAAAACAATAAGTTTCAAGGGTATTTAAGCTTTTTGCTATGGCAAAACGGTTACGTGCTATAAATTGATTCTTCAGCTATTTTAAAGTAATTTTTTGTTTAAAGTGTTAAAAAGGCAACAATAGTTAGTACGTAAAAAATGTATTCTTTAAGACCTACAATTTTTGAATTTAACATTTAAAAAAGTTAGATACCATGAAAGCAGTTTTTAGCCTTGTCGAAATAATTTTTACTATTTATATTTGTAAAACAGTACTACACAGAAAAACTTTACATTACAACTATTGTATTCAAGAATTTTTTGTATTACTATATATCTTTTATGTGCAAAAATGATTTTTTTGCTGCTTTTGGGTCTATTTCGTATTATAAAACTTCTGAATTGCATGGAAGAGTAAAATTTATGATACAAAAAAGTTTTTTTTTTTTAAATTTATAATTTTGCCTGTGAACACAAACGTATAAAATATATGCAAAAGAGACTATTGCAAAAAAATGGGGCTTTTTTCTTAGAGTGCGTTTGTAAAAATGTTTAAAAAATTTTTTTCAGATGAAACTGTCCAACTGCAAACCATCAGCTTTTGTATTGAACCCTAAATCTACTAACTAGGTTTGAAATTTGTTTTACGTCGAAAATGGCGATTTACATGTGGTTAAATTTTTGGCTCTGACAAAAATAAAAACTCATATGCATATGGATTGAGCCCAAGAAGAAAAACATAATCTAAGTATAAAAAAAAATTGTGCATATTTCGTAGTAAAACGATAGCTTAAAAGTGCATTTACTTTTATGACATGACTTCGTTTATCGTAAATATGCACCAATTCTATCAGTTTTTGTACATGTCGAAAAAGAAAGTAACTCGTGTCTCATATTTTTTGTAATTTTTTCATATTCTGCAGTCATAAGAGAGGTTACGTGTTGAAAAAAGTAATAATTCATTTGAGTATGAAAAAGGTATTAAGTTAGCTGTGTCTTTAAACTATAACAGTAGTTATTCAATCATTAATGAACGTCGCAGCAAATCCTCATTACATACATAACATTGGAATTTGTATATTTCTATTAAAATCGTTAAATTTTTATTTTTTCGAATTTGCTTTTTATACAGCTTAGCTGCGATTACTTATCTACGACTCAATTAAATTATCACCTTTCCAGCACTGATGAAATTTTACTTTTCTCTTTTCAGCTCACAATATTTCAACTGTATTTTTGTACATCTTAAATGTACACAACTATTTAAACAAACTTGGAAGTTTTTGAATAAGAATATTGTGTTTTTATCGTCAAAAGATTCAAAACAAAACTTACCTTTAGGTTTTCGAATTCCTATTGGATCGAATGACTGTCGTTGTTCAAGCTTGTATTGCCTTAAATTTCTCGTTAAAGTAGAACTCTAAATTTTGATAAATTATTAGGGATTGATAAATATCCCAAGAATATTACAGAAATAATTTTGTAACACTTTGATTATGTGGCTGAAGTTGCTCTAGTATACTCTCACACACCAGCTTTTGTAACGATCTGTCCTTTGAAAGCACTTCGTGTTGTTTAATAGTTGTAACAGCTATTCGATCGATGCACGACATGCAGCGCTCTGCGTCGTGGCTAAAATTGGCAACCTCATTCCCTCAGTTAATTAACGTCTCACGTACGTTACACAAAGAGTAAAATACATGATAAAACATGTCAGTATTTATAGTTACACGTGTTAGTATAACGTCAGCAAATGAATATTGTAGTTGAATAACAATTTGAAACTAAAAATATGTATAGTCGTACTGTGCTTTGATGCAAATTAGCGCTAGGCTAGTTTTGAGTATCCCCTCCAATATTATACACTTGGCAAATATAATAATTTTTAACTTTGTTATTTAGATTTAATAATACTAATTTTAAAAAGAACTATTGACAGGTCAGACTATACTTTGAAAATTAAGATGATTTTTCTAAATAAATCATTAAACAGAATTAGTGAAATTTCTTTATTACTTCTGTACTTACTTTCAAACAGCTCATTAAATCATTGCGATATAACTCATTACATTCATATGTCTAATAACACTCACATTCTTTCCTATCGATTTTTATCTGACTACTAGACTAGTAATCACCTAATTTCTATTTTTATTTTTCTAATTACTGTGAAGTAGTGCATTACAAAAAAAAAATAGTATCACCTACATATTGAGTCTGTAACGACCGTCCTAACAATATAGAAAATATTAGAAACACTGAAAGTTTAACTAAAAAATGTTAAAAGCCACATTTGTAGACTACTTAATTATCTGCAATTTAAAAAAAATGAGTATTATAACGAATAGTTAATTTGAAAAACCAAGATATAGAAGTCATGCTGAAGTAATAGTCGAAAAATGAAAACGACCCATCGCAAAGTACTAAACAATATGATTTGCAACTCAAAAAAATTTTTAAATGATCATGCATAAGCGTTCTTTATTTTACGTTCTTTGGTAATTATGTATTTAAATATTTCAATAAAATAATTTCGATTTTTTCGTAATAAATGACTATTTGGCATAAAAATGGTATTTAGCTAAATTATATATAAAATAGCTTATTGATTTTATGAAAACGAATCAATTACATAACGTAATTGTGCATTAAGATACTGTATTTCTTAATATATTTTACAAATGATTGTCATGGAGTTGTGTTCAAAGTGTTTTACCATAGAAATACTATCATCCAAGTTATCGTGATCATCATCATCACATACAGTTTGAAAATATGTTTTCTAAAAAAATTTTTCTGCAACCCATCTTTTTTTTGCATAAAAGATAATTTTTTTATAATTTGCAGAAAAAATTCTAGCGCTATAATTTAAGCTGATATAGTTGATAGTTAATTTAATTGAAAATTATTTTTCCGGTTTTGGGAGGCTGGTACTTCCTCGGGCGAAAAAGCAGTTTTCCGATACTCGTTCAAAAAGTCTCCTTTACGAACCTCGTTACGTCCCTCGCCTTCGGCTCGAGCCGCAAACCTCTCGGTTCAATAATAAAAAATCACCATTTTTATTATTAAATATTGTAATATATGATTACAAGAAATTAAAATCAGCGAACTTTTTTAGTTGCAAATTAAATTATTCAATACCTTTCCACTAAATCGTTTTCACTTTTGGATTACTATTTTAGCAAAATTTATACTGTGGTATATTGTTTGCTAGGACTCTTTTTAGCTTTTGCCATATCAGAGACCTTTTTTGCTTCCAATTTTTTTGCCCTAACCGTGAGGTGTGCGATCTTTCGTGTACGGGCCTCCTGCAAATTTCTCCTTATCAGACGACACGGTCATCCATCCCACTAGGTACTATTCACAGGGGAAAGCGATTGTCTCAAGCACACCCCAGCTATTATCAAGTTCAATGGAAAGATATTTTCCAATATACCATGGTAAATCATTTAAACTCGCTGTACCGACCGTTTTATAACTAACAGTGACTTTACCCGATGAGCTGGCCAGGTGTTGGCTTTCCTTGGAGAAGGAAGCTCTTGGAGGTCCAGATATCACCAGAAAAATCGATTATTTGTTGTAAAAATTAGATGAAGGGTTTTTCGGCATCCTCGGTACTCAACCCATCGCAAAAGATTGAGAAAAAAATCTTATAATTTTCGACGGGATCCGAACCCGCGTCCCCTCGCGTATCTCCGACTAGAAGGGTGTATGCTAACTACGAAGCCATCGAAGCTTTCAAGACTTATCGTATATTTTGGTGGATTTTAAGCATCCTATTACAGTTGTAACAACAGTTATTTAATGAAAACGATTTCTAGGTTTTTGGCAATTTGCAAATTAACTATTAGTTTAAACACAAATTTTATGTAACATAAATTAATTAAGTAGGCTACTACTTCGACGTCTAACATTTTCCAGTACAACTTACACTTTTACACTTTTCTCAATGCTTAATGAATTTGTTGACAAGGAACGACGCTTTAAGTTTTTGCATGAAAAATTCCATTAGGTCCGTCTTGTATAATTTTGAAAAATAACCAATACGTGGTTTTTATTTTTTTTTAAATTAATAACCTTACAAGATATAGCCCTGTTACGTCATAATAATACATGCGAAAAACAGTCATTTTGATTTTTTTCTATCACTCAAGAAAAAAAATTTTTTTTTCTTGAAATTTTCAGGAATACTAGGATTTGGTATTATGTAGACGATTCATGGGTAATATATACCTCACAACGTCACATATACATGGAAATTTTTGTAGCTTTTAGAATACCGTAATTTTCAGGTACTATATGTTTTTCAACTTTTATTTTTAAGAAAAAATACGTTTCGATTATTTTTCAAAATTATATAAGGCGGACCCAATAGAATTTTTCATCCAAAAACATGATTAAAAAAAAAAAAAAAAAAAGGTGGTCATAGGTGTGATATCGACAATTCTACTAGTCTTTATCTTCAAATGAGATATTATAATTTCATATTTCTTACTACAACGTATTTTAAAATAACGAGAAATAGCTTTAAAATCATTTTTTTTAATAGACATCGTTTTTTTTTACTTGTGTATACTTACATCCATTCACAACCGCATACGTAATTGGTAATTTTTATTAATTTTAGTACAATAACTTTAATCTTAACTGCTATTTTCTATCAAACTCGCAACCATTATGTAGCAGATAGATCTCACAGCTGCTTAATGTTGTCGAAGAAGCCAATAAATATTTATTTTAAAATTTATATGAAATTTCTATCAATGAGTATTTATATGAAATTTATAATTAAAAATTCTTGCCAATATCATTGTTGTATGAGAACTAGTATCAAAATAAACACAAAAGTTTCTACTTTCTGAAAAATGTTTAACTGAATTCTGGCAAAGAATATTTTATAAGGAACAGAAAAAGCCCGTGAACCATTTTTTGGGTATCTCGGAGGAAAGAAATAATTTTGAGGATTTTTATTTCTTTTGTAATTAGTTGTTTTTTTACAGTTCACAAAATGCAAATGATGGTTAAAGAATTCAGAAATAATAAAATTAAAACTAACATTCAATATAAGGAAGAACGACTAATTACGGAAAAATTGTAGCTTCTAGCCGAATCTGGACAGAGGGATGTGCCCCAAGAGTGAGCAGAATATATAACAGTAAGAAAAATTTCAAGAGAAAACAGTGTTTGTAACATAATATTGAACGAATTTTAGTCATTAGAAGAAGAAATTCGTGAATAGAACAGAAAAAACAGGATCGAGGTTTTATAGAATTAGGAGGAATGGCATTCAGATATACATTTTGTCATGTATTCTTGAACTACTAATGCCCAAGAGTTATAAAACAAAGAAATATAAAAAATTTGTAATATCAAATCGTGTTTACGCATTATAATATTTTGAATGATTTAATCCTTTCAAACCATCATTAACTTTCTACATTATGATGATTTTTTTTACCCATACATTATTTGTAGGTTCAGTTCTTTGATAATTATTAGTGAATATCAATTCAAACATTATTTTTTTATATTAAGTTTAAGTATGAAAACAATGTTGATTAAAAAATATCGGAATAATTATATCATGCAATTCCGATGTTAACAAAATTTTTATTTCAACTTTGACGTACTGTAGAGTCGACAAATATGGGCGTAATAGCAGTTTTAGTACCTGGTGGTGCATGTCGCCTGGGCAAGCATCGAGGGTCTCTGCGTGCTTGCCCCGGGTGAATAAATGTTATAGAAAATTTGAGGTCTCTAGACCTCTCTTAGTAGGTGTGATCAGTTAATTTTTTTTTTTTTCAATTTTTGTGGTTAAGTAAGCAAGAAATTACAAAAATGCACTTTTCAATAAAAAATTTTAAAAAATTAAAAAAAAAATACTAGAAAAAAAACCTTTTTTGTGTACAGAGAAAGTTTTTGCTAAACTATAAATTTTTTTTAGATTTTTCAAAAAGGTGGAACAGGTACAAAATTATCAACAAAATTGCGATTTTGGCACTTTTTGCATTATTACTACAAAAAATAAATGCAAAGCATTTGTAAAACTATTATAACAATTTATTTAAAAATAATTTTGCGGACCATTTTGTGCAATCATTAGTCGCAGTGATCAATCAGAAAAATGCCAAAAATGGCCGTTTTAAATTTTTTTCGACCTGTTCCACTACTTCTAAGAAACTGAAAAATTCATGGCAACACAAAAAAATAAGTGCTGTGTTAAAAAAAATGTATCCGTTATTCTACTTGAAAAAAGGTTTTATCTTGAATTTTTTTAAAACGTCTTGAACAAATTTTCGAACGTCTCTGAAAATTTGAATTTAGCACCAGCATTTGAAAAAAATTTGTTATTCACTTTTCATGTAAAAGTGCGTTTTAAAAATTTTTTTAGATTTTTTTGCTCACTACCTAGTCAAGAAAAAAAACAAAAAAAAACAAGAAAAATGAAAAACACGTTTTGACTGTTCACAATTACCTTGAGACATCTAGAGACATGGAATTTGGCGTAAGAACACTATTGTATAGTACCTTCCAATCCACAAGATTAAAAATCTTTTGGGGACGCTGATCCTTCCCCCCGCTCCTATTCGACTACTTGTTAAAAAACACTCTCAGTTTAACAAATCATCAAAAATTATATAGTTAGAGTCCCTCCTTTAAGAACATGTATTAACGAATTCTTATACATGGTAAATCATAACAGGTCTTTATTATACATAACGATAAAAATAAGTTTATTGCTGATTATTCTGCTTTAACACTGGAAAAGGTCTAGTCTACAAATGCCGTTAGAAGCTAAGTTTGTAATTTATGCGTGAAAGATCATGCTCTATAAGGGAGAATTCATTACAACACCATTTGTTGGTGCTGAAGCGTGATGGCCAGCTTTGAAAAAAATAAAAAATTTTTTATTTATTTGCAGATGAGTCAAACCAAACCACAGGTTTTAAAATCAACTGTAATAAACGTGACACTTATTTTATAAAATACGAATGCATGCATGAAAAAAGCTATTATTACGATGTGCAATTGGAGTAGTGCAATGATTGTTTTGATTACCCAAGTAGATCGGTCTTGCCAACCAAATTTCTAAACTTAATACCATATCATAGCAAGTCATAACGTGTTATATCATAATGTATGTTGATACGTTATGATAACGTACGGCTGATGGTTCAATCTCTCTACATAGTCCCCGTATAATCTCACTTCCAACAGCGGTAATAATTTTCCCCCGAGAGAAAAAAAAAAAAAAAAAATTTCTCAACTCGCATTTTTGGATCTTAGTGGACCAGCCGCGTGCAAACGCGAGCCAGCTTACTCGCTCCCGTGGTTATCCCCATCACCTTGTCTCCGTCCGCTGGCGCTGTTACGTTTCGAGATCAGCTATTTTTGAGCCAAGCGAGTAAACCAACGGAGCAAGGGAGAGAGGGGACTCGGGATCACCAGAGCCTAAAATCGTCGCAGCCAATCGTCGTGGTCGGCGCCGTTCCCTCCTCGTCCGACTTCCGAGCACCAGTGCCAGGCGCCGCTAGCCACTGAATTTTGCAGTCAGCTGCGGAAGGCCCGGGTCGACTAGTCACACGCAGCCAGTAGTTCGGCTTACATCTTTGAGGTAAGCGAGAGGCAGCCACTGAGCCGATCCTCTCTTTGATTAGGTAGCGTTAATTGGCTATACCCAGTCTAGTGTGATAAGAGTGCGAGCAAGTGGTTGCGGACGCCTGGGTGGGGGATGATAACCAGCTGTGCACCTTAGGACGATTATTACGCAAGAACACCATTACGGACTAGCCTGTGTCCCTTCTTCTTCTTCTTCTTCTCTCTGTTACTCTTTGGTATTTCGCCGATCTTGCGCGTATGGCCTTTGAAGTTTGTCTTAACTCGCTAGCTACCAAGGCTCCTCGGATGATGTTTGGGAATTTATGTTGGTTTCGTGACTTGGTAATGTTATACGTTTTTTCACAGACGTTTGTTTAGTTTACTATCTTTCACAGTTTGATACACTTTTTTTTTGAACCTCGAGTTTGGTATGGATGATGGATATTTATCCATCTTTGATTAACAAACGTGATTTTCTAGCCCACCATGATAAGTTGTCGCACATCGTTCATCTGAAATCATTTTTTCTGTGACTGCATACGTAACCTCGTTCAAATAATTATCATAAAATTCCGCCGTGAAACTAAAGCGTATTTGTGCGGACGCCCCGTTGGTTCATTCCTCGCCAGTGGTTCTAATAATAGTCCCCGTTACACGCCACTCGGTCGTTTTATATTTAGCTGGTTACGATTCTCCGCGGAATTCTTTTTACCCGACGGTTCCTTCTCCAAGCCCATTTTCACGATTTGCCATGAAACACCTATTTTTAGCCCCAGCTATTGACTTTTCGACCATCATTGCTGACCTCAAAAGTGCTCAGGGTTCAAGCCAAAAGCCGATCCATCGCGCAATTCGCGTAAGTGTCGCAATTATCGAAAAAGCGCGCCAATCAATCAATGGATCCTCGAACCGCCAACGATTCCGAATTCGCAATCCATCTCTTGGGTATGTAGATCGAATGGCATTAGGGATGCGAAATCGCGTGATTAGGACGCGAAACAAATATTTATCAACATAAGCATCAATTGCCAATACTATCACTTTGCAGCGTTTGCCAATAGGTTGATTGCCAGACTTTTCAGCAGGTATTTATAAAACTCAAGTCGTAGAACAGACGAGACATTTCAACCCATCGAGTTATTGATCTTGTAAGCTGAATAATAAATCTGGATGATTTGAAGTGGCCTGAAGATTCGGTTGAAAAAAAATCGGTTTTTACTGCGGTAGTGAACAGAAAATCGGTACGATGGTTATTTAGTCAACCCTGGATTTGCATTTGTGTCTATAAATAGTGACCCCGATTGCTCGTTTGTTTTTTTACTGCTCAAATGAATTTTTGTGGCACTCAGAAGTCAGAAGATTACTTTATTCTTCATTTAAAAATTGTGTAAGAATTATACCAAACAAATTTATTCCCAATCTGTTAAGGTTAGATGAAAATTCGATTTACGCAGTTTTGTAACAAAAAACTAAAAACTAATACGAATTTTTCAATCTGAAAACATTGCTATGCTATAAGTGTTCGATGACAACTTTTTGAATATTTGGTAATGATTTTTTTATAGTACAGTAAACTAACGTCACAAGTATCAAGTTTTAAGCTCAAAAGTAATTGTCATCCCTAACATGACTCTAATAAATAGTAGTGTAGAAAAAAACAACACAAAAGTGAATTAACAACGGAGTCAGTATATTATAATTTCAAAATACCTCATCTCAAAGCCAACAGTACATTTTACGGTTGGAAGACATTAATAGAACGGATATTAATATTATTGCTTGAGAATTTTTCATATACAACTCAGAGCCTCAGGTATTTTTAAAAGTTCCGACAAAAAAAAAAAAAAAACAATCTCTATTCACATTTAATCTCCAAAAATTGTATTTCTACGGCAGAGCTAACTTTGTAGCACCACGACTCAATGGTTGTACCATATAATTTATCCATACCAAGTAATCCAAATCAGAAAAATTATAAAATTCATTAGTTTCCCCTATTTTCATGGGAAAAACTCTTCTGCCCCCGAAAACGCCGAGTGCGCTCCAGAGTTCTTCTACTCTCCACTATCCCGAGCCCCGGATGTACCCGCCCGTCCCAGGTGGACGGTAGTATTTCAGCCTCCATCCTCCCGCGCTCCCATCTCCCGGCAAGCGTCAGCGGCCGATGCTATACTTAGGCGGGCGGATCGGCCCGTTAAAAATAAAAGTCCCGAGCGAGAGAGCCGCGCGCAACGGCTGCGGGATGGAGCTCTGTCGCTGCTGATCATTGTTTACGGGAAGCCGCGGCCGTAATTCGATAGGTTGGCGTTGAATTTTTTTCTTTTCCTCGTTGTTTGCGATGCCGATGATGATGATGATGTCAGCCGTTACTTTGGATCCATTTTTTTCATTTTCAACGTAGGCTGTTTTTGACGAAATTTACTTTCTTTCGACGGTATAATTTCGCTAATTTCCCTCCTGAATTTGAGAACTTGGGATGTTAACAAGTAAAGATGGAATTTTGAAAAAGTTTAAGCTAGATAGTATCGCTCAAAAATGATGTAAAACAGTGAACAACGTAGAGGCAGTAATCAAGTTTTGCGCAACGAAGTAGTATCTTTTCGCCGTTGTCTTACCGTACCAGACCGTTTCTACTTGCCACTAGCAAGTGATTAAAACCTTATGTGCGCGCATTTCAAATTCTACTTTTTCCACTTTAATTTAAGAACCTGAACACTCAATAAAATAATACAAGAATTATTGTTTGTGTTATTGCAAATTTGAAAAAATTCTCTTGGACAGTTATTACAAACATTAAAAAATAGATGGATGAAAAAAAAGTATAACATACTTAGATAGAGCAAAATCTATTTCGTTTCGTTAGTACGTTTTCCAATATTTTGAATCAAAAGCAGAATACTCCCGCGCCCTAGTCTCGCTCACAAAGTTTGCTCTAAAAGAACAACCCATTCTTGTCTTGTCTTCTGTCCTTAAAAACCAACGTGAAGATTTCCAAATAGTAGTATTATTACTGTTATATTAGCTAATTAATTAGTATAGTTATGTTTGTAACTCAGAAAGGGCTTTTTCAACACTTTGCTGCTAAAACTACAATGTCTACCCAGATAGTGTGCTAAACGCTTGATTTCCGCATTAGTGTGCAAATAACCGTTTTGCACTTTGCTTTTTTGCGCCCAAGTGCGCAAAGTAATTATTTCTCACACTTATCTCGAGTTGAGTGCAAAAGTGGTTACTTCTACACTGTAGTGCGCGAAAATTTACTATCAATACAAGTATGGAAATAAAGCACTTTGCACACTTTAAACAAACATATGAAATTGGATTTCACGTATACAGTGCTGACGATTGATTTACGCATTGTACTATTTCCGACGTACAATATTTTTTTTCGTTAACACAACAAAAATTTCAACCACCCAAAAAAACAAAATCATTGCATACTCGTTTTTTGACTCGATAAAAATAGTATTTTGGTAGTGATGTGTATATTTTTCTGGATAAAATATACAGTAAAAACAATTTTGGATCAGTCAAACAAAGTTCTTTTGTAAATATGCTTTTGTTGTTGAACGGAAGCACATACCTTGATTGCCAAATATTCTGCGATCACCTTCAGCGTGTACAAATCTTTTGAAACTAGTGTTTTCAGTAATAATATAAGGATTAACAAAAATTAATGCTTTGAGTAGCTCATATGTAATATGATTAGATAAAAAAGTAGAATTTAACAGTATACACAAACAATAATGAGTATTCCGTCTTTTATATTACAAATTGAAAGGACTTTTTTGGTGCATATTCTTGCCCAAAAATGTTGTCGCATAAATTCATAAAAATTGCATCTCTAATCCACGTGTTTGAACTTTTAAAGATTTGTAAGAGTGGCTTTTGAAGGCAAAAAGGCAAGTAATATTTATTCACAAATTGACAATAACTCAAATTGTCTACCAGTAACCAATTACTTAGTAATAATCATCATTTTCATGAGAAATAAAACTTGCTGGTGTTTTTTAACCGAATAGGTAGAAAAAAATGTACTTTTGATAGTTTTCAGTCACATGTATATAAGAAGGCGTACAAATGGTTCTATGAAAGAATGAAATAAATGGTACAAACCCTTTCATAAATGTAGGAGGAAAACAATAAAAATTAAAAATAATAAAACTTGTGAATGATTAAACATATGTACTTAAAAACGAATAAAAATGTTGTCTTGAGTAATCATAAAAGTGTAATTCCAGCAGCAAAGACGCGTTGTACGGAGGCGTGGTTGGGACGCGCTGCCTCCGTAACCAAATTTGGATCCCGATGCAGTCACTGTTAGCAGAGTAGCGCTTTTGAGAGCTGTTATGGTGTTTGAGTATGCAGAGAGAGGAGGGGTGTGTGTGTGCGTGACTTATTTTTGAGCGAACCGGATATTTCGTACGATCAGGTCCACAGCTGATTTATGCTGCGTGATTTTTCGCGCCCACGTTATCTTCTTTCCATCTACTTCTCTTTTAACTTATTCGTTCATCGTTTGCCTGTGGTCTCGAAGTGGTTCATTTTACAGAGTAAGGTATCGACTATTTTTAACGGGAAACGAAATATTTTTCAATCCAGGGACCTCTCAAGTAAAAGGGTTTGAAAAACATTGGCTAATGTTATTTTTTATTCTATTTTTTATGTAACTTTTAGTAAAAAAAGTAGTTTGTGTATAAAAACATCAAAGTTGTTGGAAAAGGGTTTTTCGAAAAACAAAGACATCAGGTAGGAATCGAGCTATTTTTATAACTTGTACCATAATTTCTGTCGCATGGTAATATTTTAGTCCTGACAGCACTGAGTGACAAGATTTCCTGCATTATTAGATGAGAATTTTCCTAAGGGTTACCGCATATTTTAAATGGAAAAAACTTAACAGAGGCATACGATGGTGTAGTAAAAAACCCTCCTGAGAGTAGACTACATAGTTTTTAGACTCTAACTGATATGTGTATGAATTGTTTTATATTAAGGCTGGTGCAAAAATAAAAATAAAATATTTAATTTCAAATTAAACAGTATAGAGTAATTATTTATAAGACATATATGCATTTTTCAAATGATAAAAATACAATTCAATTTTTACAGGAAGAAGTTCATAACAACCACATATCAAAATGGCTGACGATGAGGTTAGGTATGTATCGATCGATAAGTCAGATCTTTCAATTTGAATAGTTACAAGCTTAAATATTTATTTTGTATGAAGTATTTATCTAATGCCTTTCACTTTGCAGGTCAGAAAAAGGTCTTAAAACATGCAATATAATTATTTAAAAATACAAAATCTTTTTCGCAGCTTCACATTTACCGTAGATTTTTCATGTCCCAATCATAACTGAAAAAAAATTAGATTTTTGCACACAGTTCAAACTATTTTCACTTGTCGTATGAATTAAAAAAAATCTACCAGTAGATAGAGTCTCAAAGTATTAAAATTATTATTTGGATAATTTTGGGTACCTTAGAGTAATGAAAAATTTATATTTATAAAAATTTGTGCTGATCCACCTATTGCAACAGTGTTTACTTTGATTGTTATTTTTTTGTTTACTTTTAATAAGTTACCTTAAAAAATCAAGTAAATAATTTAAATACGTTCATATTATGTTGAAAACCAAGATCTACTTTTAAAACTATTTATTTTATTCCAAATAATACCAATTAACGATTCGTACGCGTTATATTGACTGGGATTTTAATGAAAAAATTTTTTTGAGGCACACCCTTGACACCAGACTCATTTTACTCGTAATGTCATGTATGTTAAGAAAGAATTTTTATCGCGTATTTCAATGAGAGTGACACCCTCTTTCGCGATTTACATGTTAAAATTATTTTGATTTCATGAGCTATGTATAGATATAATAATAGCACGTAAATCACGAAAAAAAGGTATCACACTCACTGAAACCCATTTTTAAAATATTTTTATCACAGTACATGACATTACGGGCAAAATGAGCCCAATTTCGAAAGTGTGCTTCAAAACGATTTTTTTTTATCCAAATGGGGGACAAAAGTAGGATAATTTTTGTGAATTCGATCGTATATTTCAGTATAATATTAAAGATCACTGATTTACAATTAAAACTCTAAGTAATGCTACTCCATCTATTTGTTGAATCATTATGTGATCGATTAAAGACACTACAAGATCGATATGGTTAGCGATTTTTTAAAAACGAATATACGAGAAAAAAGGATAATTTTGAACAAATAGAACCCAATTAAGTATCACCAAGTACTTTTGATTTATCTTATTTATTTAACAACGACCGAAGACAAGGGAGAAAAAAATTATAAAACAACTAATTTCTCTACGTTTCGCTTCTTTCATGTTCCCGTGGATACTTCACACCCTCCCTATCGTCACTATCCACTGAAACCATCGACCGATGTATCAACGAAATTCTCTAATCCTGCAACACTTGACACCGGCAGTATGCAAATGATTAACAGGTACGTTGCTTCGCTTCGGCTTTTTGCCCATCCACCCCTTCTCCTCCGCAAAAGCTCGTGATCTCTTGACGTGCAACGCGTGCATTGTGTACACACAAGGAGATATATTCCTCCTCCTCCACCACAGCTCTTCTTCTGGCTCCGGGTAACTCTTTGAACTCTCCCTGACACGCATATACAAACGTGTCGTGCTCGTGAGTCTCGAACACGTATAAATACCGGGACTGAAGGGACACTATCACTTCGCGCCACCGCGGGGCAGAACCTACGACCCACAAAGTGTTTGTTGTTGGCTGTATATGGTAACAACGAGTTATCACTCTGCATGGCCGGTACTCTCGCTTACTTTTTTCCATCAATCGTCTGATTTTTGAATGCATGGCTTTGGGATCACGCAAGTGTTTCCAAACTCTAGCCAACACTTTGGTTGTTACACGTAAAAGTAACAACCGCATCAATTATTATAATTTTAGACAAAGACACACCGACGGCATTTGTCTTCAATTGGTAATTGCTTAACTGTAAGTGATCCACGTGATTATCGGGTACTCGTCCTTCGGTAACAAAGGGTGGAGTTTCTACGGTATCAATGTCCACAATGCATCAAACAAACATCCGCGAAAAAGCGATGCATTGGCTTTTTTTGTCAATCTGGTCATACTCCGCGTGAATATGGGGGCTGGGCGTGTACTCACTAACGAGAGTACGGCGATAAAAGGTATCTCTAGAGACACGAATACTTCCTACCGCTTAAAGCTGACTTGGACAACGAGTATAGTCTCAACTTGAGTTGTAGTCCGGCCGAGCTTGCGAGTTTAACCCAGTGAACGGATTTAGACCATCCGCACACATACATCTACATTGTTTCCGCGTCTTCGCGATTTTTATACCAAACTCATGTACACCCGGAGATGTAACGAAGATCACGCGTGGCCAGTGGAGAGAAAAAAGAGAAGGACGGAAGAGCTCCTTGGTGCTTACAGTAAACACATACATATGAATATTCGACGACTGAATGTATGTACACTTACACATGCACGTATCGTCCAGAGATCACGGGAGGCGTAGGTGTGTATCTTTAGAAGGTATCACCGGCTCTCTCTGGTGTATAAGTGTACATAGGTATATATATATATATATATATATATATTACGTGGTTGGAAGCAAAGGTAGTCTTAGCCGATGCTCACCCACTTTTGTGCTTTTTATAACTTACGAGGGAGACTGGGCCAGAGAATATCGTACTTTGGACTCTCTTTCTCTTTTTTTTTGTTTTTTCTCTTTCGGGAGGCTCGTGCGTAAAAGCGACGTCCTCCATGTTTCTAAGTATATATTTCTGACCGAAAAAATGTACAGAAATAGATTCCTTTTTTTTTGTTTTTTTGTTGTTTTTTTTTTCTGAGAAAAAAGTCTGGAAACGACTCTTAATTTCATTTTAAATTTCTCCTTTCGGTTGCTGTACGTATATCTGTATACAACTGAGTTTATGAATCTCACTCTATTTGTCACTTCTTTCTATTTGTTGTCTGTACTTTCTTCTGTGTTTATTCACTACGTAGGCACGACACTTTATGCGAATTTCCATGGATTTCGATTTACAATATCCCGACGATTGTGTGTCGGTTCGGATTACATTTTTTTTGAAAATTTCCATAGGAATTCGTGCGCCAAATACTACTATATAATACTACGTACATGTGTATAGATAATGTGGTTTATCCGTTGCAGAATACGAAAACTACTATTCTTCACACCTTTGCAATTAGTATACATATCGATGTAGTTTTTTAAATACTAATTTATTTTTTTTTACTTTATGTAAATACAGTTAAAGCACCTGTATCTGTGAATAATTATTGTACTCTACTGTAAATATCTCATATGTGTAATTAATGAACACTTCTATTACAAGACCATACAGCTCAAAAAAACCAAAGTACTTTACACAAAAAACGTTTAAGTTTCAGTCTTATTTCATTCGTTTTTATTGTCATTTCTGTGTATGACGCTCGAAATTGTTAAGAAAAAAAATAATTGTGTCACTAAACACTTTTTTTAAAATATGATTTTAAAGATTGTAATGAAAGGAATCATTACACAAAAATTAAAAAAAAAAAAAGATTTTTTTCAAATTTTCTTTCTACAGCGTAACTTTTGATACCATTGAATAAAGAAAATAAACAAAATGCCAAAAGTAGCAAGTATAAAAAAGCAGTTTAATAAAAAAAATAAACAGTACTTTTTTGGTTGAGATAATTTAAATGGAGAGTCAATGGGTGGGGGGTAACACAAAAAAAAAATTACTCAATCAACATCAGCCCCCAGGATGACACTGTGGTAAAGTACACACTCAACTCACGATGTACACCTAAAGTTATGTAAGCTCTGCACGCCACCACTGCACATATCAAACCTCCTGCTCACGCTAATTTACAAAGCAACAAAGCTGCGAGGCAAATTTTACTAATGCTAATGCTGTTATACACAACTTTGACAAATTAATGTGTATGTGCTTTGCCTCATTTGCAAATGTCGCTCTTCTCGCTTGCTCTGATGTAAATTTCTAACTTGAATCAAATTTATTTGATAACTGATTTGATTTAATCAATTAAATGTTTTACTCTTGTGTGACACTCACGTGAATTATGGTACAAAACATTTGAATTTTCAATATGATCTTAGATTAAAGCGATATTTTTTCATGCCAAAATTCCTTTCTTAACGCTATTATACGACTCTGTCGTTGGATTATTCCGTTGTGATCTTTAAATATAACTAAAATATTAAAATAAAAATAAATTAATAATATAGTCCGAGTATAAAACCATTCAGAGGATGCTCTCGTTGGTAGAAAAATGCTTTAGGCAATATTTAATGATTTTATCAGAATTTGGATATCAAAAAATGTAAATAAAACCATAATCTTAACTTCATAGATTTAGTTGATGCAAAATAATGATTATAACAATGATAACAATAATAATAATAATAACAATAATAGTGATTATAGTCATAACAATATTAATATTAGTCATAATGAAATAATAATAATAAAAAAAACAATGATAATATTAATAAACGTGGGATTCGAAAGTTGATGTCAGAATTGATGCATCACGAAAATAATCGAACTTCACTCCA